TGAAGGATAATTCAACGTTTGTCTTGAAGATTTAAATTTATATGTCTTTTACTCGTGGTCGGTTGGAAAAGGTTAACGTGGTACAATGCTGACTTGTGCTCCTGTGTCAACCAACAATTTAACTTCTGTATTTCGTTTGAGAGTTAAAAACGGACAAGCCGTCGCATTATGCACTTGACTGGACACCATCAGTAAGTAACGTGGGGGTACAGGTCTAAGAGGCGTTGCACGAGGGCCGTACCCAGAAAAAAATTTCGGGGGGGGGGGGGGGGGGGGGGGGGGGGGGGGGGGGGTTTCGGGGACAACGGCGGCCATTTTGAAAGTGTCTATTGTCTTATTTTCGCCTATGAATTCTGTGCATCGGTGGCATATAATGGAGAGTTACAGCAAACCGGAGAACCGGTCCCGATTTGGTACCCGGTAGCCGACCGGCGCCACTGCGCGTGCGCAGAGGTGGAGATTAAAATCGGCTGGCTGCCAGTGCACCGACCAGGGCCGTACCCAGAAAAAAATTTCGGGGGGGGGGGGGGGGGTCAGAACCCCTAACCCCCCCCCCCTGGTTACAGCCCTGCGTTGCACTATACTTCAGGAGGAGAGAAGAAAAAGGAGGATTAGAGAGAGAGGAGGGGGGTGAAAAGGAAAACTGGGAAAACCCCAAAAAATTTGTTGAGAAAAACAAAAGGGAAAACGTTGAAATGCCGCCCTGTGTGGCTGGTTCAATGTTGGTTACCTTGGGACTGCTGTTGGCCTCATCAGACACCTGTGATTCTGCTGCTGCTTCCGAGTCCATGAGGTCCTCGGTAGGATTTTCAAGAGTTGTACGGTTGGCGTAGGTTGGGATATGGTCTTCTGGTTCATGCCTGTATTTCCTGCATGCGCTGCACCATGGAGAGCGGCACTGACTTCGAACATGTCCTATCTGCTTGCATTACAGGCACTGTGGCGCTCTACCTGGCATATGGAGACCAGAACAGCGGTTCATAGAATCAGCTGGCACGTCAAGTTGTCCACAGCTAGTCCCTCGTATTGATACTACTCTTGTGGTCTCTACCTCTTCGTAGCCAGAGTAGTGTGATTTGTCGCGAAGGACACTCTTTACTAATTACCATCAAGTGCTACGTTTGCATCTTGGACATTATTTGTTTGGATCCAGTGCACCTTCATGGGTAATGCAGTTCTACTTGCGTCAATATATTCAAGCATATCTTTTATTTTACTTGAATTTGCCAAAGTTGTAGTAATCTTTTTCTCCGATCACACTGTGAGCAGCCATACGCGGTTTTATTGGAAGGTTCCGAGGGACGAGAGTTAGTTAACCAACTCTCGTCCCTCGGAGGATCAGCGAGTTGTCCAGTAGCTTACTGTTCGGTAGAGGGGGCAGAAGAATCTTGTGTTCTGTGGTGTTTGATGCAGAAGGAGCAATATCAATTGTTAAGCTATGTTCAGCATACGCCTGGCTAGGCTTCGCCTTTGAGATTTCCTTGACGGAGCTCCAACGCTGTCATTTAGCTCGATGTCCTCTTTGAACACCACCAATCCCCCCTTCCTCTTCATATATCTCAGTTCTGTACAATGGATTTTGGATATTTTTCATGAGTATGAAATATATTGACTGCCGTGACCTGTAGCCCCCTGACACAGTGCCCTGACCAGCCCTGACACTGACACCCTCGAAAGTTGGGCCCTGTTCCTAATTTCTGCACAATGGGTAATATGGGCAATATTAGAGTTCAGCGTCGGGTTTCCTGCGCGGCATTCGGAGTCTGCTCCTCACGTGACTCAATTTAGCGAATAGCGGCGCGGCGCGCTCAAGAGCCGGGGGACGTACGCCGGGCCGCGCAACGTCTACTTTCCTGCACGGCATTTGAGTGCACGTTTGCAAGTAGGGTGACTGGCCGCCGCCATGCTTCTTTTTATTTTAATTACCCAGGGGGTTGTCTTATATCTATGCTATACTCGGCGACAACTTTTCTTGGCAATGCAGTGGAAGGTACAGGCCCGCGTCCCCTCTCCCACTTTGAGTGTACGCAGTATGTATGATCTCTATGGTACGCAGGCTCTCCTCCTCCCCCATTTCCGGGGAGAGGAGGAGAGCCCGCTGCATTGCCAAGAAAAGTTGCGTATGGATGACGGTTCTGTGGTCGCAGCCAATTATGATAGCTGGTGGGACCCGTTGCTCTCGGGCAGGGTGCGCAAGCGCGTCCGTACACTGTAGGACGCGACCATGTTATGCTGGGAGAACCATCCATGCGTCTCTGTAACATTCGATTTTGCACGCGCTACGTTCGAAGCATCTGTCAACATCTGTAGACGCGCTATAACAAAACTTGAAAAAAAAAGAAAAAAAGTTATATGCAGCTCGCGGTTTTATAGCGTCCCATTAAACATTCCTTTCAGCTTTATTATTTCATTGCTTTCTATCATAGCTTCCGTGAGCCCGTATGTTTCACTTTGCCTGATAGCAAAGCCGAAGCTATCTGCCAAAGCATGTTACCCTGAACGAGGCACTGCACGAGCGAGCTCGGCGCTCGCTCTTGTAGCCTCTGCTACGCTGGTGTAGCGAGTAGGAAAAATTGTAGTGGGGAAGCGTAATGACGCACATTCGAAACGCGAGCCAAATATTCTATTTTTCTCGGCTGGAGCGCTGCTCAAAACGTGAGAGCAGAGCCGTATGTTGGGAGCTACGGGCCCGTCATGTCGCCAGTCGTGTGCTGGGTGGAGAGCGCCATGTGCCATGCTTCTGCTCGTGCAGACACGCCCATGCAATTGCAAGAAGCTACGTTCACGCGCACGCTGCACGTGCTTGCAATCGTAAATACAGGAAGGCGCACCCTAGGAGAGAGGCGGTCGGCGGGTAGTTTCAGTTTCGCCGGGTTGTGCATATGTCGTCTGCTATCGTCTCCGCACCGCCAGGGACCGCCATTGCTCATGTCGTCGTGAACTTACGCTCGACGCAGTAAGTAACGGTTTCTTCTATTCGCTACACATCAGACACAGAGAATAACGAAACAATTACGGTTTGCTGGCACGGGGAGCGAGCGAAAACGCCGCAACGGCGAAGGAACTCAAATCGACGCACGCAGACAACCTCCGAACAGCCACCTAGAGTAGTACTCAAGTTTTATAACAACCTTGTTCCCACATGGCCAATTTCCTTATAGCGAAGTAGCAAAAGGTGCATTTTTGCGCTTGAACGGATTATCAGCATTTTCTTCACAAAACGAAACGAAACGAAACTACGTATATTGCAGACGAGCCAAGTTAGGCCAATCCAACAGTGTTGCCAGATTGGGCTATATATAGCCAAATTGGGCTACATTTTTTTCTAGTTGGCGTCGAAATTTCGCCTTTGGCTATGTGGCTATTTTTGGGCTATTTCTAAGGGTGCGGCAAACTCTTGTCGAACGTCGAACTTTGAGGTTCGACGTCGAACTTTGAGGTTCGACTAGTTAATTTTCGAACTTCTAGTCAGTTTCGACAAAAAAATTGTTTCTCTTTTGGCTAGTCGAGAGGAAAGAGAGGAAGGAGAATGGCTTCAAACTTCTACAAACTTCGGGGTTTTCACAATGCGCAGAAAAGCAGTGCTAGCAGACTTCAAGCGGTCTCCCCACAGCGCAGTGAAGCAAATCAAACAAACAAATTGCACTGTTTTTACAGGTCCGGTAGCGCGTCCTCTACCCGGACGTAGACTGGACTAGAGCACTATATAGCTCCTTCGGAGCAGAGTAGCGCAATCTAGAACGCCGCCTCTCGGCGACTAGCGGCGAACGCCCGGAGGTTCCAACTGCGGTCAGAAATGCATGGAGAACGTGAGAAAATCGTTGTTTCTCCAGTATTGTGGGAATGTACGGAATCGCAATCATTTTTGACATAATAATGGAACACTTTAGAATAATTTGCGCTAAGTTTTGTGCCCCGCAAGGACCTGACTTTTTTTTAAAAATTGCCTGAGCGGCATCATGCAGCAGACGACACGGCGACGTCACACCATTCACGTGACCCGCTCCAGCCAACCCGAAAAGCCCATCTCCGCTCCGAGCAAAAATCGTCTGCTTCAAACGCCCTTGCCTTGGAAATTGCCTTCTCAAAATTTGCACACGCATCCGATATTGTTAAAACTTTGATAAAGTGTTTAGTGCTTTACTAACTTCACGACAGACTAGTTTTGAAAAGTGTGAACTCGCCGTTCATTTTTTAATCAGCCGTGTTGTGTCGATCTCCATGTATTCTCCCATAGGGCGGGCCGCCTCCTGGAACCCTGAGTACCACGTGACTCGCGCCGAGCCGCTCTGTCGGCCATGTTGTCGGCAAAACACGGGGTTCAAAGGATTGCGTTACTCTGCTCCGTAGGAGCTATATAGTGCTCTAGACTCTCCAAACGCAGCTTTGGTGCCCATTGCGAAAATTCTTAGGCATCGCCAACTTTAAGAAAAGAAACACAATAAAAAAAAATAGCTTGAACCGGAACGGGGGACGCTCATATTCTACACAAAGGAAAATAGACGGGTGGGTTATTAGTAAGAACCTTAGATATAGGGGGTGCTAGTTTAAAACTCCCAGTTCTGACTGTTCTGCTTCTACATTCTGTTCGCTTCATGTATGTTTTCTATCTCGGAAAACCTACGAAGGATGGGTAATTGTTTCACAAATTTTCATCCTTCTGAAGATTTTTACATATATATATATATATCAGGGGACCTAATGTACACAAAAAGTGGCGCATCTGAGGGTTGAAAAAGAGAATTTAACGTGTTGTTTTTTATGCGTTTATGAAAAATTGTCAATAAAAGGCTTAAAAATCGTTGTTTTTAATCTTGCTTATTTTGGGCTATATTTATTTTATGGCTTTGGCTATATTTGGGCTATACCTCCCAGCCGTTTGGCGGTTTTTTGTTGGGACCATCTGGCAACACTGCAATCCAAGCCAGAAGTCTTCGAGCATGGGCGCATGGGCTTTCCGCTGCGGTCGGTGATTCTTGTGCTCTTGTGAACCCTCTTATGAGCTCTAAGTGTCTCCAGTTCGATGACATTGTTGGGGCGCGTCCTGACAAAATGCGCAAAAATTTCGGGATTCATCATCCAAAGCACCGCCATCGCGTACTGTGTTGTCGAGTTTTGTGGTGGCCTTGTGATCGTAAGTGACGCAATAGGCGCATCTCGTTTCATTTTCTGTGACCAAGCTCGTTGCACGTGATATTCTTTGTTTTGCTTCTGTTCCCAATCACCTACAGTGATCACACAATATATTTTTTTCCTCTTTGGCGAACTAGAGCTGAGAAAAACACCCCGCGAAGTTCATAAGGCATGAGACATGAACATGATGGTAAACCGGAGACTGGGGTAGAAGTAAGACGGAAAAAGAGCAGGCAACGTCTCATAACCCAGCTACAAAGTTTATATCGTCTCCAATGCCGTCACTACAATCGCCAGAGGCAACGAAAGCCCAGCGCCCCTCGTGCGGATGATTTTTCTCCAGAGCCTTCGGCACGTTCGTGTCTATACTGCCCGACTTTTTTTTTTACTGGTTTTTAATTTGCACCGAGCCTGAGCGCGCTGAACGTGGTAGCTTAAGGAAATTTTTCATTTCTTGAATTTCGCTTTATTTTAAAGGTTAAGGCAAAACAAAATTACAAAAAGAAGCAAAACATAACCTGCTTCATGACGTCCTTGGTTGCTTAGCGCTCACGGTTGCCGCACTCCGCGTCGACGGCTCGAGAAGGCGCCACTAAAGCATTTTCTGGAGAGGCTGTATGAAGCGGGCAGCCAGGGCGGCTCGCATTGCATTTGCTGCACAATTAAACACCAATTCGGCATTTCATTGGCCACAAACGACAGCAAACACGGGGTAAAGATCAGTTCAGAATGGGAGCCACTTCGCACTGCCAAACCACCAAACCGCAAGCCAACCTTCTCGCTAAAGGCCTTCGGAACGCTCGGAACCGTTCGGGTCCTCCAGTCCCTATACGACCGCAGTGCCGCTGCGTACATCCGGAACCTCTCTACGCTTGCCACTCGTTGGCGCCTGATCCCACTACACCTTTCTAGTATGCGCCGCCTTTTCCACTGCTCGGTGGCGGGTATGTTGACGGGTTATTTTTTGTTTCCGTACTTTATAAACTGCATGTGTTTCTTTTCTGATCTAAAATGCGGAGCAAAAACTACCTTTATAAACAATTGAAACGGTTCGCGCCACTTTTATTTTGTATTCCTACTAAAAAGAAGCTTTCAGTGGCTTTGACCAGTAGTAAGCCCAGGACCAAAGACCTCGCATATCGCATGCTTTCGGCACCGCGGGTCGCCCCTGTAGGTGGAGGAGGTTTTCGCGTCGTCCGGTTAAAATATGACGCTTTGATATTTAGTTACTCTCTCCGTGCCCGCTGGCTTGCCCGAACCCCGAGAGACGTGGGCACCGCAAAAGTGGTAGACGCTTAAATATGATTCCAGGGCCCCTTTAAGACTGGTGAATGCGTTTGATGTCCCTGCTTCGTCCCTGGAACCAGTGTTCTTTTCCCCATGCATTCCGCGCGCTCCTCTTTCTTTCCTTTCAACGTACAATACATTTGAGCTGTGAACGAGCGGTAATATATAATCCCTGGAGAAGGGTAACAAGGGGGACAAAGGAAGAAAAGAAATCTCCAAACACAGCTAGGTGACTGGTGCGTGCTGAAAAAAAAATCCGCCTGGTCCTGGTATCGAACCAGGGACCTCTCCACTTCTAGTGGAGCACTCTACCAACTGAACTAACTAAGAGCTCGATGTCAGTAGAGCAAACGGGTTTTATCATCTGCCACCAGTCTAACACTAACAAGCTGAACGGCCTTTTAAGGTTATGGTTTTTGATGCAATTAATGCAGAGGTGCAGGCGAGCTGAACAGGATAAAAAAATAATAATCCCTGGAGAAGGGGGACAAAGGAGAAACAGCTGGGTGACTGGTGCATGCTGAAAAAATCCACCTGGTCCAGGTATTGAACCAGGGACCTCTCCTTTTCCAGCTGAGCGCTCTACCAACAGTTGTAAGTTATAGCACTTGTCTGTCTTCTGTGTTCCGTTCCTGTCCTTGTCCTCGTCTCTTTGTGCGCTATTTTTTCATCATGTTCAACCAGTACCAACTTGTCCAGCTTACCGCCTTCCCACGACAAGACACAATAAAACGAGAGTGTGAAAAAAGAAAAAGCACCTACGCAGTTCTTAACAAAAACGGGAGTAAACCTTGGTTACGGAACCTTTACACAAAAGGTCACTGTTCGGCACAACCACTACCTTGCCCTCCGCAAACGCGAGGGGTTCACAACTGAACACAAAGAAACAAGCTTGGCTTCCAAGAACGAAGCTTACAATGGTCGCACCGTTGTTAGTTGAGATGTACCTCAACAGCTTAGATAGAGTCTTGTTTGACAAGGTGATTGAGTTGTAGTAAAGCAAAACTATCGATAGCACTACTGATAGTATCGATAGTCGCCAAAAATCTGACTATTGATAGTACTATCGATAGTCGACTATCGATAGTCGGCTATTGATAGTTCTGTGACACTATCGATAGTTTTGGAAAAGCTATCGATAGTCTTGGAAAAACTATCGATAGTCAGTTTATCGATAGTTATTGAGTTGACACCGGACGTGGGCTTCATCAGAAGATATGCCCGTGCTGTTTTTGTCTGCACGTTTGAAGATCAAAGGTCAGAGTCTTGAGAAGCTGATGAGGTCAACGGCCCCAGAGCTGTAGTTGACAGTAGGAAAACCAGAGGAGAACATGTTGCAGTTTTTGGACTTTTGCATTCAGGTGAAAACTGGTTTATGTTAGGAATATGCTAAGCAAATGGCTAAACCAGTGCTTCCTAATCAATGTTGTCACTCTATGAATGTTAAAGCGGGAGTTGGGAAATCATTGATTGGTAATCCATTGGAGAGGTGTTGTATCCATTTCATGAGTCAAGCGTTAGAAAGGCATTGGGGAAGATTGGAGGGCACGGGGTACGAGGGAACTTTTCTGAAACGACAACTTTCCATTCAACTCTGAACTAAGCAGGACGAACCAAGTGTGAGGGGCCGACGAGCTGCTATCCCACATTTCCACAATGTTTCTCCTAACCTAAAAGCATCTGCAAAGAAGTTTGGCTTGGAGGCTATCGTTCACGTCAGATTTCAAGCTATGCAAACTTGCGCCTTTTAATGGGGAAAGAAAGAAAGCCCAAAAACACATAGCAAAAGGTCGGTTCCGTGCGATTAATCTTTTTATGAGATCCTTTTGGAGTGCAGGTTTAAATACGTAGGTCAGACGTCGACGTGTATAAACAATAGACTGACTGAACACAAACAGAATGTGAGCTTAGGAACAACGCTTCCAACTTGGAGTTAGCCAGGCACCTTCAGGAATGTCCTACATGTAATGTGGACCAGTCTGGAAGTAATTCACAAGAACGTAATGATATCAAACGTGGAGTTCGAGAAACAATTAGAATAAAGACTTCTGGTAACTGTCTAAATCAGGCGTTCCAGTTCGTGAACAAATGCAAACAGTTTGTGTGCCTGTAAGATTTTTCTTTTTCTTTTTTTAGGGAACATTGTAGGGTTGTGACAAGGTAGTGGAACTGAGTAGGCAGTTCCGAAGTGTTAGCAGTGTCTATGTGCGTATCTTTGGACTGTGTAATTTGTTAGAAAAAGTGCAGTTTTAGTATTTTTAGTTCATTCTTGGAGGGCAAGGTTTCTAGTTTGTTCTTGGAGGGCAAGGTTGTTTCTTTGTGTTCAGTTGTGGACCCTTGCATTCGCAGAGAGCAAGATGGTGGATGTGCTGAACTGTGCCCCTTTGTGTAAATATTTCGTTGCTGAGGTTAAAGGAGATAACAGAAGGTTTATCTGCGTTTTTGTTAAGAACTGCATGTGTGTGTTTTTTCTACTTGTTTTATTGTGTTTTTTGCATGTGTTGCCTTTGGTGGTTGCAGTGACGGCTTTGGAGACGTGGTATATGAGGCGTGTACGAATTAATCTTTGTTGCTGAGGTTGCCTGTTCTTTGTCTTCCTTTGCGTTTTCCTACCCTTCTCCGGCTTACCATGATGTTCAACTTATACCAGCGTGCCTGCACTCTGACTACTTTTTTCGTTAACTGGATAGTGTCAGCTTTTGTCTGTGCACTGGTTTTCACAGCAAGAATATTTATGAGGCTGAGGTTTCTTCATTTACCGCCTTTCATGGACGGTCTCCTACTGCTCGAAACACAGCCGAAGTTAATTGCCTCTTGACGGTGCATTATCACTTGCCGGAGGTAGAACGTAGGCTCACAACATGTTACATAAATCTCGGCAATTATAATAAAAACTTTTAAAAAGTACACGTCACACAAAAGTTCCCTTAAATGCCCCCCCCCCCCCCCCCCCCCAAAAAAAAAAAGTTTTAAAATTGCAAAAAACAAAAACAAAACAAGGAACAAGTAGAAGAAGTCTACAGACAAAGCACAATCTGCCTTTCGTTTCATTTGAGCAGCTTTTATTTTATAGTGGCGTAGTACCAACTAGCGCAACGTTTCACTGTACCATTTTTGTGTTGGGCCATATCGATTCAAAACTCTCGCAGTCAGACGGTAGAGCTGACCGTAGCCGTGGTACACTGCACACTTTTGCCTGCCTCCCCCTTTCTCCCCTTGCCCCAACACGGCCCCCTCGTGCTTCAGGAGAGGAGGGCGCCAAAAGGATTATCTTTCCCGCAGAAAACCGAGACTACGTTTAAAAGACGAGCACCTCCTGCAAGGCCCTCTACTCTTTCCTCTTTGGCAGAGCAAATAGTAAAGAGGAGTCAAACAGGAACTTGCCCCGTCTGTGTTGCGCCGTCCACCCTCCTTTAAATCTAGCCGGTTTGTGGACTCTTGCAGGCTCGGTCCGCCCAACCTAACTTTCTCGACTCCCGTTCGCGTGCAGAGTCCTAGCTGCCTCGGTGTAAACGGGGTTTTAGTCGCGGACAAGCTGAGAACGGTGGGGAGCAGCTTTAGTTGTCCCGCCTTCGGCATTAGCTTCTTAAAGGGCAACTCCGCTTCATTTTTGGTTTTGAAAAAACAATGCAGTCCTCTTCAGTATCGCCTAGGAAGACCACACGTCAAATATTACCACGCAGTTCTGTCTAAATGTTTTTTAAACGGTCCAGCAAACTTTGCAACTTGCCAAGTTGCCGAAATCGACTGACTTGAGCGGGCGAATTCAGGCGCAACCAACAGCGCAGTCAAGGCTACGGCATGGGCGGAGCCAACATTGAGCTAAACGCCATCTACATGGCCCCCTTTTGCTTGTTTTCACTTCTCCGGGCGAGCGTAGCGCATGACGTCAGCAACGTGGCCTCTCGGCGCTCAGCAGTGTCCACGTGATTGGCGTAACGCGTTTCCTGGGAGCCGTCCGGCCGCCCGCCGTGGTCCCGCCGTTACCGCCGTCTTCCGCGTCACAACCGCCGTCGTCGTCTCACCGATTGTGATTATTGTCTCTCGGAGTTTCGTCCACACTACGGACACCACGTGCGCGCACACTTATGCCGCAGTTGTGCAGACGTCGTCGAATGCCGTAGACACCAAAACGTAGCGAAGAGTGCGGTGCAGACGACACTCGCGCCTGCCACACGCCCGCCCCCATCCCGCCCGTCGTTGGGCCGAAGATCACGTGACATCTCGTACCACGTGATGGCCATGTACTTGGCGACCCGAGGCCAATGTTGCCGGGCGGAGCCGAAGTTTCGGTTTCGATTTTTCGCTCGTGTTTAAAATCAGATTTAAAAATACATATCCCATTTTTCGCGAAGCAAACGACGTAGTGTGTTTCACTAGGGCTTTTTAATTCAAAATCAAACATTATCCCGAAATCTTCGGAATTGAGCGGAGTTGCCCTTTAACTCGGGCGTCTCCCCAAGCGGTCGAAGCATAATTGAAGGTACAGAGCATGTGCCGAAGGCGTTCTGAAGACATTCCCCAACGTTCTCAATCTGTCCGTGGCTCCAGTTGTGCTTTCTGCGTGTTCTACGAGCGGGTGTAGGGCCCTTATGGTAACCATGCCCTCGTCTTCGTTGCAGTGCAGCGGTTCCTCCATGGAGCCCACCATCCAAAATAACGACATTATCTTGACGGAGCAGGTCTCCGTGCACATGCATAACATTCGAAGGTAGGTGATGCCAAAGCCCATTGCTTTACCTTGGGGCAAAAACATAAAGATTGCTTTGCTTTTGGCATAGGCTGTGCGTGTGAGCATAGCACGATGGTATGAAGCTATTAAAATGGCCGCATTACGGTTTGGATATTTAACGTTGCTGCTAAGGCGGCCTCAATAGAAACTCTAACGAAACTTGAGGCCCCTGGCTTTGTGATTGCCTACTTGAGCGTCTGAAATACAGGCAGAGGACGCGAAGCGCCCACCCTCGGCGAGCTTCCGAGACCGCCGAGCTAATCGAGATGCTCCCGTGCGCCGGCCGCTTCTGTGGGAAGCCTGTGCTGGGCGGGGAAGTTGTGGGCACGTGCCTCGGTGCGAAGCGGTAAAGCTCAACAAGAGCGGTGCGATTGCTCTAAAAATGAAGGGTTCTGCCAGGCCCCTGCACCGCTTCCGTTCCGTTCTGCCAGATTGAGCAAAGGCCTATTGTTCCGTGTGCCCCTTTTGCTTTTCTGCTCTTGGACCTAACGGTGCCGGCACATCGGTAGTTTAGCCCCATGTTGAAAAAAAAAAGAAAACGCTCGTTCCAAATTGCGAGGCAACAACATGCCTCTTGTGTAATCCTCGTCCAAATATTGGTCACTGGAGAAAATCGGCCATCCGAGTTAAAGGGACCATGAAATGATTTTAAAATCGAGTTTCATCCACCGCACGTCGTAAAAGGTGTGAAAAGAAACACAAAAACACAAAAATAGGGAGCCAAAAAAAATTATTTGCTATAGAACTTTTAAAAGAAAACTGGACTCTTTTGCGCCTTCCTTCCTTCGCCTGTTCACTACGATGCATCCGCGGAAATGGAGCACGTCAGCCAAATCCAGGTCGCCTATTGGGTAAGAGCCTACCTCACCAGCACCGCGATCGTAAACAATAAATAGCCGGCAAATGTTTCCTAAAAGTTTTGTTAAATAATATTCAGATCCACATTTTGTAGCATAATTAGAGATGTGTGGCGAAAATTGCCAAATTTGATAATGCTGAGAGCCAAGCGCCATCTATCGTGTGGTAAACGAAGCAACTACTGCGCGTGCGCAGTAGGGCAGGGCCGACAGTTACTTGGGTGCGTGCTTGGGTGACGGCGACCGACGAACATTTATTTTCTTTGTTTTCCTTCCTCTCAAAACTCTGACTGACTGAACGTTTATTTTTCTACGTGTTCTTCCCGCGCGCGACTTCAAGCAGCAAGAAAACAGTACTTAAAACAGACCACGACGAACAAGAACGCTGGATCCACCGACTCTGACGAAGCGAGCTGCTCAGAATATAGGCCTAGCAGGCATTCCGACTCGGCGCTGCGTTGCTTCGTCGCAAAACCGTCTGCCTGCGACCGGCTGGCGTGCTAAATGGAATATGCCCGCGCGACCCTTGTGGACCCTTCCCGTATTATAGTTTGATCACTGACCTCAATTCTAGATTAAGAGGTGAGGTCAATCTCTTCCCCTTGTTTTCCGAGGCAGTGTTGACGAACACTCGTCGAAAAGGGACTCTCGTCGATTCTATCTTCTTGTTTTGTGTGATATAGAGCTGAAATAAACGCCGTATGGATTACCTTCGTAACACGGTATGTACACTTTGTTATTGGTATGCCATTTTTATTCTGACAGACTGCACGTCACTGTCGAGCCAAAGCCTTCTGTATACAGTTCGTGGGAGGTATACGTACAGTCTCCGGCGATATGAAAGACCCACTGGGAGCGCGTGGCCGAGGCGGTGGCTGGCGGGGGCGCTGCGAGCGCTCCGGGCAATTCCATTCTGTTTCGAGGGGAGGACGCTCACTCGGGGCTCAGCACAAACTGATAAGCGCGTTTCGCTTTAGCTGAGCCCGAGTGAGCGTCCTTTCCTCGAAGCAGAATGGAATTGCCCGGAGCGCTCGCAGCGCCCCCGCCAGCCACCGCCTCGGCCACGCGCTCCCAGTGGGTCTTTCATATTGCCGGAGACTGTACAACCCCGGTCCAACCTTTCTTTGCCGAGTGTCGCGTCAGTATCGAGTTGCAATCGTAAAAGAACGGTCCCGAAGCGCTTACAAACAGCGCGAATACAGCACTTCCATCAAGCGCGCGCGTCCGCTCCGAGTGTAAACAGGTATTTACGTGGCTCTTGCTGACACTCGTAGTTCAAACGTATCTTTTTTAACGTCGGCTCGCTCCTGCATCTCCGAGGCCGCGAAAAACGCCATCTACGTCGCTTTGCAAACGACTGACACGGGCCGGCCCTTCTGCCAACAATGACAGGGTGGTTGACTTCTGGAGTCTTCACCGGAAGACTCGCTGCACTTCCCAACAGGCATACCGGCGTATGGGACTAGTCCCATGCTGTCGCTGTAGCGCAACATATCTCATTGAATTTCGCTCAGCTGCGATGCGGCGATGAGAGGCGCCGATTCAGGAAATACGTCGGTGACATCAGCGCAGTAAAACCTACCGGCGCACCCCAACTCGTTGCCGCTAACACTCCCATTCTCCTACTGCCGAGAGAACTTCCGGTTCCGGAAACGGCCTACGTCACGGCTTGTTTTGCGGTCAGTTGGAGAGAATGAAAAAGTCGATATTTCAATAATTTGTTGTGTAGAAGTTAATAAACCGAGACGAAAACGGATGCCTGTTCGGCATTCAGTGAACATTGACGGTTTAATGTAAAAGTTATCTGGAAAAAGTAAAAAGTTCATTTCATGGTCCCTTTAAGTCCTTATTCGGAATCTTTTTATTCGCGGTCCTTCCATGGAAAACAACGATGAAAGAGCCCAAGCATTCACTTGATCTTGCCGCACCACCGTCTTCGCCTGCTATGCTCGCTGCCACCGTGGCCGTGAAGCTCGAGTCGGTGGACATGCAGACACCGAAGCCAGCGGTAGCAGACGCCACTTTCCGAATGCCGTCCGCTAAAGTCAACGCGGCAACGCCAGCTAAAGCTGGATGCGGCAGTGCGGGGGCAATGCTGAAAGCGGGAAGCGGTGGTTGGCGAACCCTCGGTGGTTCCAAAAGAGGTTCCGTCGCCCTGTTTTTCCACCGTCGGTTAACGGACAATATCCAGGAAATTGCGTCGGCCGACTTCAGATGCTGCATTTGCATACACGTCTATCCGGGAGATGTAGCAAATAAAATGGCAAATTGAACCACTTACTCGCGTGAATGGGTGTCGGCATGTGCTGGTGGACCGAAAAACTAAACGGACAAGTTTCGCGGGAGGGACGAGCACAGAGCCCTCCTTCTTATTTCTCTCTCAACCGAAACGCTGTCGTCAAAACTACAGGACCAGTTAACTTATGCGACGAGAGTTGATATACCACGCAAAATCTGTTTGCACAAACTGTGTCGCAAAAACTACTAGAAGCTGCTGATTTGGGTGTTTAAGGAAAAAGAAATGTTCAGTCTTTTGTCAGGCCCCTGTGTGTCCTCGTGTATATTGCACCTTATGCGAAAGAACCATTGGGCGCGTTCAGTAGCGCCTCCCTTACCTCCGAACGGAGTGACCCGAGTCGGAGCTCTTTGGATTGATTTTCTTGCCGGAAATCGTCACCAGTCAACAAATGACGTCATCCTTAGCTCCTTTGACTCTACGTGCAACGTCTCCGGACTCGGTGCTTGGGAGCTTGACTCCGAAGCCCCGGAGTTATGTGCACGGGAAGAGACTTTTGGCCGTCCAGTGGAAGGAGTCAGTGACTCCTTGACTCTGGGGCCGCTACCGAACGCGCCCAATGTCTGCTTGGAGAGTGACATGCTAGCATAGGACAAAGAAGGGCACTGACTCGTATGCTCACCTACTTTGAGAGAAGCAATAGCATGATGCAAAGAAAACAGAAAACACCAATGAAATCTGCACACTAGCTTCGTTCGATCTACCCGCACCTTGTGCTCCGCTGCACAAAAGTGTAGGGCAGAGTACTCCCGGTACATGTATTGAGATACCACTGGAAGTATACCATTGTACACTTTTCTGCACTGGTGCAGGAAGTGGAAATAAATCAAACCTCCTCCTTTTTGTTGTTGCCTTTTTTGCGCCGTTGCTGCCATTATGAATCACAAACTCGCTCAAGCTTAAAAGATTTATGCACCTTTTTCGCGAGAGTGCTGTCATCTTCAGTGTCGTTACTTCCAGTATGGGCGAAATTGGTTCGCAGTCACCATGCTAATAGAAAACATTCGGCGCATAAGTATAACCGTCACCCATTGTCGTTTTGCCCCACCTCAAATTTTTTACTATTTGCGGGTTGAAATGTTTTAATCTTTTTTCGTCGCCCATACCGGATATATCCACTAGGTGGCTGGGGATGAGAGTAAATGAGAAAGGTGTATAGACTCGAATCTTAGAACCCTGATTTCTATAGATATTCTGCAGAAGCTCTATCGCAGCCCCACACGTGCTGACAAGGAGCACCATTGCATTTGCAGGGGGGACATCATAGTGGCCAAGTGCCCGACCAACCCCAGGCAGTACATCTGCAAGAGGGTGGTGGCCGTGTACGGAGACGACCCGGTCTCCGTCTTCTCGATGCGTAAGGTATGCAGGTGCATTGCTGTTGGTCTTGCACTCGGTGCGGACACTCCTCGAAGTTTATGCAGGGTGAGGAAGCTGACCAAAATGCTTCTCTCACTCACTAGCAGTGGCGTCACAAGCGGGGGCGGATGCAGGAATTTCCTGAGGGGGGTCAGGTGTTGATCAGCGCACCATATGTTTAGGAACCCCCTCCCCCTCTCCCTTGTTTTACGCCCTAAATTTTACACATGTAAAAATCAAGAGGGGAGTCAGGACATTCGGACCTCCCCCCTCTAAATCCACCCCTGGTCAGTGAAAGGGGGGGGGGGGGGGGGGGGGGGGGCGGCGTCATGGCGGGCCACTGCCCCGGGTGCTGCTGACCCTAGTGACGCGACTGCACTTGAGAGAGGACGCTCGAAAAAGTGAGAGGGAGGGATCACTTGTGCAACGAAGCTCTGCTCCTGTGGACCCCAGTCTCTTCTCTGGGTAGCAAACTCCTCGGCCACGAGTTTGTTGTGGCAGGTGTGGTAGTTCGTAATAGATCTGCTCGATTCAGCCAGAAAGTTCCGCAACTAGTTCTGTTCGAGTTCCGAGGAGTGCAGGAGTTGTGCAGCGGCGGCGCAGAACCAGTGCAGCCACCGCGCTAGGACTGGCACTGTGATCGGCTTCCGGACCGGAAGCGCACGGTGTCGTCCGCATCAGTTGGCTCTTGTTTCTCTACACCACGTCGTATGCTACATTAAATTCTCTGCGATTTAATGAGCTCGTTCGCGTTCCTTTAGTTTTCAAGAATATAAACAAAGTCTTTTCTGTGAATGTTTTTTTTTGTCGAGTATACTAAAATGTTTTCAGCACAAAATGTGTTTCTGTCAGCATTTTTAACGTTTTAACGTCCGCTTCCTATCAAGTCCATAAGCATGTGTGTCCTTCGACTGCGTACACCACGATAGAATTTAGATTCATTTGGCAATAGTAGATGAATTCCAAGTCTCGGGTTCTGCGTTTGGACGATAGGTTTGCGGCACCAGGGTGATTTCACGTAGGGAGTTACTGGCGGTAGCGGTCACTTCGAAGATGAAGGCCGGACAAGAGCATTGCCTCGGCCACAACAGTTATCAACCGTCACTTGGACGTAAAGTTAAAGCATATATTGACTCTCAAGAAAGATCCGCAGATACCAGCAGCCCGTTAGTGGGAGGCCACAGATATGAGCGAACAAAGAATGCACTATTGTGCTCGGGTATGGAGGCACACAACTGCCAACATACTAATTCGCAGACCTCGCATTGCAACGTATTGGAGTCGTCCGTCTGCATCCAAGATCTGCTGAAGACGAGGGTTATCACGGGAGTAATACTTTTCCTGCATCTTTTAAGAAGAATATCAACCTAGAACCACGTAGTATCAAAAAGAAACAGTTTACGTGAGCTAATCTTTCAACACTTACCACAGGGAGGCAAACCTGCGCGAGAAACTTTCAAAATATTCTGGCTAATTCATACCCACCGTTAGGATCTCACTTTCGGAACCACCAGGGGTACATTGTTTTCATGAGTGAGACGAAATGCAACCTCCGTCACGGCGTTATTGTTAAACATCCAGATATTTGAGCAAGAGCTCCGGGAAATGGCTCCGCCAGTGTCGTCTGCTTCTGCACGAACGCTGAACCGACTTCGGAGCCGGTGCAAGGTTTCGAGGAACCATGTCTGAAGTCGTTTGGAACTAGGACGAATTGGACGTGCCAGTGCAGCAGCCGTGCAGCTTTCGTTTGAAATGAATGTGCCAGTTTCCGGGCTGCTGCACTAGTTTGGCTAGTTCAGGCGAATCGAACAGACCTACGCGCCGAGGAACCCAAGCGCCGAGGAACCCAAGCGCGAGCGGCCAGAGAATGCCGAGCTCCGGTCGGAATGATTAGTGGGTAAGCCTAAAGCTTGCGGCCCTTGTCTCCACAGCACTTGTTGAACGTATTAGAATGCAGAATGCCGGCGTCCCGCTTTTGGCTCTCGTGTTTTCATGCTATGACGGGTGCAGTGGAGACAAAGGCAGCTAGGTCTACCGACTAATCATTCCCAACAGAGTTGGGCGTTCTGACATCCCCGTACTTCAGTCTCCCCCTCTCCCTCAGTTTCTCGGCGCGGAGTCAGTGACAAGGCGAGAGGAAGGAGCTTTGGTCGTCCCACTTGGAGTGTGTGCATTCGACCAAAGCACGATGGAAGGCATGGAGTGCGCCCATCCGTTCTCAATCTGCCAGTGACTCTAGTCGACAAAAAAACGATGTGCATCTCAATCCTACGAATAAAGTGGGGAGGCCCAGAGCCTGCGGCAGAGGGACGCATGCATTTTTCTCCTCATAATTCAATGATTATCGCGTCAAACGTGGGGGACTTTCTAAATTTAGCAGCTGCGCAAAGGTTTGCATGACGCTCTTTCCTAATGCTGCGGTCGTTTCATGGAAAGCGGTCCTGTAACGCAGTTTTAGATCGACGTACCTTTCAAACTGTTTCCCCTTCATTAAAGGGATACTTCAACGAAATTTGAAATATTCCCGTCGTGTTCAAAAATAGGTTGAATATGATCCACAATATCCGTAAATGACAATTGCACGTTTGTATTTTGATCCTGGTGGCTGTATTTTTCGTTATAAACGGCCCACTCTGGTAAGCGCTCGGAGAAGGCCCAGCTTAGAGCACGTGACATTGAACGTGTTGTGACCGTGGGCGTCCGAGTGCGACCACATGGTCGCCAGGCAGAAGGAAAACAACTACCCCGTGTGACAGCTCGTCAAAAAGTGCCTTTAATCGTAAATCAGCAACCGGAAGAAGCTTCGCTTCCGGTAAGCCCGCAGCACGACACATGTGGTGCCATCTATTGCCAGATGTCCTCACTACATTTCCCCTTCCAGCTCGAGGGAGCTTTACCTCGTGCTTTCACAAGTTCAGTCTTTGAGGAGGCTTGACTTGCCGCCCCGAACGTGTGACGCGTATACCCGGTGGGGGAGACTGCCGTGTAGAACTGGGCACCACCGCTGAATCGCCTGTTGGTCTTTCGGCTACAGGAACTGGCCCGTCTGAAGTTGCAGGCTGGGTACAAACTAAGTCGCTTGGCTGGCGGGGAGTACTGGGCGTAAACGGCACCAAGTGGCGACGGTTGCGCTGGACAACACCCCTTGGCGTCTCGACCACGTAGGAGCGCGGCCGCTTGGCCGGGCTCAACACCCTAGCAGCACATGGTATATCTTGTACCCACACCTCTTCCCCTGCTTCCAGAGGGCGCAGTGACTGGGCGGCGTGACGCCTGTTGAAGTCCTTGCGTTGATGGCTCTTCACGCTCTGGTCCCTGCTCTTGACGAGCTTTGGCGACGGCCACTTCGGCATCAGCGATGCAGGTAACCCTGGCAGCCTGGTCCGGAGACGACGACCCATGAGCAGCTCCGAAGGGCTGTAGCCGGTCACTCCGGGTGTGTCCCGGTACACCAGTAACGCCATGTGCGGATCCTCTGCCTTCACGAAGAGCTCCTTCAGTGTTCGAACCATGCGCTCTGCCTCGCCATTCGCTTGCGGGTACCTTGGACTGCTCGTACGGTGGGCGAACCCATACAAGGCTGCGAAAGAGGCGAATTCCGTTGACGAAAACTGCGGACCGTTATCAGAGACCACAGTCTCCGGAATCCCAAAGCGGGCAAAGGAACTCTTCATAGCCGCGATGACGGAGCTTGATGTTGTGGTCGCAAGACTGACCACCTCGGGGAAACGGGAATAGTAGTCAACCATGACCACGTAGTTGCGTCCTTGCAGCTCAAAGAGGTCAACCCCGATACGTTGCCAGGGGCGATCAGGTGTAGGAGTCCCGAGAAGCGGCTCGCAGCGCTGAATTCTTGTTTGGGCACAACGCTCGCACGTCCCCACCAGTTGCTCCAGCTCGCTGTTCAAGGTTGGCCACCACACTGAGTCGCGAGCCCTTGCCTTGCATCTTCCCACGCCTTGGTGGCCCTCGTGGAGTAATGTTAGCATCTCCTTCTGAAGAGTCTGAGGAACCACGATGCGACAGTCCTTCAGCAACAGGCCCTCGAAGGCTGTGATGTTGCCTCGCTCCTTCCAGAAAGCCCCAAGATGAACTGGAACGTTGGACACCTTCTTGGGCCACCCATCCTTGCAGAATCGGAGTAGGCCGGCACAGACTCCATCCTCTGCTTGGTGCTGGCGAAGGCGATCGAGGCGAGTGGATGCAAGACTTTCGATGTTCTTGAGCAGTGTCCCGACGAAGAGCTCGACGGTGTCTACTTTGGTGTCGGCAGCCTGTACAGGAGCTCGGGAAAGGGTGTCTGCTGTCGCCAGGAGCTTCCCCGGTACATAGAGAACGTTGTACTGGTAGGCCATAAGCCGCATCCTCAGGCGCTGAATGCGAGGAGGCATAGTGTCCAGTTCCGCAGATCCCAACAGAGTGACGAGGGGTCGATGATCTGTTTCGACATCAAACCTGATGCCACGGACGAACTGGTCGAACCTTTCAACGGCCCATGTGACGGCCAGAGCCTCTTTCTCCGTCTGGCTATACCGGGTTTCTGTCGGTGTAAGAGATCGCGAAGCGTAGGCAACGGCACGACGCTCTCCCGATGGTTGGTCCTGTAGCAGAACGGCTCCCAGTCCATACGAACTTGCATCAGCCGACACTGTGGTATGGTACGAAGGGTCGTATTTGGCCATGCAGACCTTGGAGCTCAACATGCCCTTAAGACGATCAAAGGCAGACTGCTGACTGGGCCCCCAACACCATGCACTGTTCTTTTGGAGAAGAGCACGAATCGGCGTAGTCACGTCGGACAGGTGAGGAAGAAAACGGCCTACGTGATTAGCCATGCCGAGAAGTCTCCTGACACCACTGACGTCCGCTGGGGCCTCCAAGTTGACCAGAGCCTGGACCTTGTCTGGATCGGGGCTGATACCGTCTGCACTGACTGTGACTCCCAAGAACCTAACAGTGGACGCTGAAAAGACGCACTTGGCTCTGTTCAGTTTCACTCCGGCACTGCTGAGGCGACCCAATACTGTTGCAAGACGCCGGTCATGTTCCTCTTGGGTGCGTCCGAAAACCAAAATGTCGTCGATCATGTGGACGACTCCGTCGAGACCCTCCAGGATCCTCCCCATTTGACGTTGGAAATACTCCGGAGCGGAGCAAATTCCAAAAGGAAGGCGACAGAAGCAGTATCTGCCGAACGGGGTAATGAAGGTCGTGAGGAGCTGGCTTTCGGCCGATAGCTTGATCTGGTGAAAACTGGCTGTAGCGTCGAGCTTGGAAAAGATCCGTGCAGGACCCAGACGTCCCAGGATGTGCTCCACCGATGGGAGGACGTGACGCTCCCGCTGGACCACCTGGTTAAGGCGTGTGAGATCGACACAGATCCGGTAACCTCCAGAGGACTTGGGGACGACAACGATACCAGAACACCAGTCCGTCGGATCGTCGACTTTACGGATCACACCGTCAGCTTCTAGCTTATCCAGTTCTTCGCGGACAATGTTATGAAGGGGAATCGGAATGCGGCGAGGAACGCTGAGGGAGAACGGCTGTGCTCCTGGCTGGAGTCGAATCACATACTCGTCCTTCAGCTCACCCAACCCTTCGAAGATGTCGCTGTGAAGAGGGCTCTGCTGGTTGAGACTGGAGAGGGCGTCAACGAACTTCACCACACCCAGCTTCTGGATGGCAGGAAACCCCAAAAGAGGCGGGTCTTGCGACGGCAGGACGTAAACCCGCTCCACTACCGACTTGCCTTTCCAAGTCAATGTGGCTTGGAAGGTACCGAGAACTGTCAATGGGTGATTGCCCGGTCCAGTGAGCTGCCCTTCAGGCTCTTGGAGACTACGAGGTGCTCCGGGAAACGTGCTTGGCACCACCGTGACTTCGGCTCCGGAGTCCACTTTGAAGTCGACGTCGTACCCGTTGACGGCGACCTTGACAAACTTCGCTCGGCCCGCGGTCGAAACGGCATGTAGATGAACAGTGCTCAAACTTCGTTTCCGCTTCTCGCAGACATCTTCGAAGTGACCCAGGCGTCGACAGTAGTGACACTTGGCTTGTCTAGCCGGGCACTCGTTACGGGGGTGCGCTTGACGGCCGCAGAATCTGCAGTTCTTGCTGCCTTCTCTCGGCGACGACGCCGAGTCTCGCTTGGGAGACGTCTTGGGGGCCGGTTTCCGTCCTTTCTTCACACGTGCTTCATCCAGCTTCAGCTGCTCAGGTGCGACGGCAGCTGTCTCGTCACGAAAAACGGTCGCCCGCGCCTTGACGGCGTCTTCGTGTATGCGTGCTTGTAGCCGGGCCTCGGCCATGGTGAGGGTCGGACAGCGGCAGAGCTTGTCAGAGAGTCTTGAGTCGAGAAGTCCTACGACGAAGCGGTCTCTAACGAGCCTGTCCTCGACCTCTGTGGACGGATAGTTGCACTTGCGGACGAGTGCTCGAAGGGCCGTGTAAAAACTGTCGACGGTTTCCCCTCGTTCCTGGACCCGCCGGTGAAAAAGCACGCTCTCGTACACTTCGTTCGGTGGATGTACGAAGTGCGCCTTGAACTTGTCTGTTACCGCAGCGAAGGACCGCCATTCCTCTGCGGTGAGGCCTAACGTCTCAAGAACACGCCGCGCCTCTTCGGATCCCGTAGTGTACAGCAACGTCCGCACCTGAACTTCGTCCGACGCTTGGTAGAGGCCTGACGCAAAGCTGAAGTCTTCGAATTGTAGAAACCATTGCGGCCACTTGTCGGGGTTTGCGAAGTCGAATTTGGGCGGTGGAACCAAGCTCGGGAGTGAGACGACGGGGGCGGTGGCGGCGGCAGCTTCCGTTGTTCTCTCCTGCGACATGACGAGGAACGCAGCGACGGTGACGAGAAGACGGAAAGCGTAGCAGCGTGCGACGCAGAGACGACGAGAGGCAGGGCTAGCTGTGAGCATAGCAGCAGCGAGGAGGGCTTCAGACCGGGAGGCCGGCCACTTCTGACACCATGTTGTGACCGTGGGCGTCCGAGTGCGACCACATGGTCGCCAGGCAGAAGGAAAACAACTACCCCGTGTGACAGCTCGTCAAAAAGTGCCTTTAATCGTAAATCAGCAACCGGAAGAAGCTTCGCTTCCGGTAAGCCCGCAGCACGACACATGTGGTGCCATCTATTGCCAGATGTCCTCACTACAGAACGCAATCGTGACGTAGGTCGTCTCAAGACGAGCAAAGCTACGGCGAGGCTGACGTCGAGAGGATGGCCTAGTCGTTCCAGCCACCGAAGCGGCTGCTTTTGTACAAATTTTGAGTGACGGGTTAATCTTCTATAATCTTCTAGGGGGACAATAGCGACTTCTGCGACACACAAAAGGGATTCTCGGGAAGAGGGGGGTTCCTCCTTCCCCCCTTTTCTCGTCGTGGCCGGAGACGAGACAACCTCCGTCACTAGCTGTCAAGGTTCCTAGACGAGCATTACAAACGAAGCGTTAGCGACATCCACCAGGTGCTCTTTGCTAATCGTTTAATTCGTTTTAAAAATCCTTTTCGAGACTTTTTTAACAAGATATTGGTATATTCCATGTGATACTGCTCTTTTGAACACATATAGACCAAAAAATGAGCGCCGAAATTTCGTTGTAGTATCCCTTTAAGAACCGGTCGGCTTCCGGCTGCCATGACAGCCGTCGCTACGGCTAGCGGATAAAGGTGCATCTGAGTTCACTCCACGTCCTCCTTTCGGAGCCTGGTGCCGTATGCTCTGCGCGGAGAGCGGACAAACTCGCTCACCGTAGAATCGTGCGACGTAGGCGAATAGAGGTACGATGCGTGCGACGCGTCTTCGTCTGGCGCGTTTACCGTCGCGAGTCGAGAGCCAGAGTCGTAGAGGTTGCACCAAAACACGAGCATGGCCTGCAGTGCAACGTGCATCTGCCACATCTACATCCGCCGCTGCATATAGCTAGCGTAATAATCCAGATGGAAAAGTCCCGCGCCTTTTGATTGCTTCGGAAAGGCAGGACCTAGACTCGGACATCGTTGCTGGCGACGCTTTCGTACGGACAAGGAAGCGGGGAAACGTCACCTGCAAGGACTGTATCTACAGTCAACAACGGGTTAAGAGTTTGGGCAAAACTTCTCTCAGCCCTTTCCACTTTAGCGGAGCAAACTCTGGAGAGGACACAACCTCCTCTTTGGCGTTTGCTCTGCTCAAATGGAAAGGGGCTCGGAGGGGCTTCCCCTACAACGGTTCTCGAGCTTTACTTTCGCACAGAAAGACCGGCATCGTGCCTTCTATAAGGTCAAGTTGATGAGTGCTTGTACACGCAGAGTTATTATAATGTAAGCTAGACGTTCAACCTTTGGTTTGAAATTGAAGCAGACAGCAACGAGTCCACTTTTGTAGTGCTCCTGCGCATTTCTATGGGAAAATACGCTGGCATTTTTGTCTCTTCGCCGTAGAATAACAAATCACCTTTTGTTACTGGGGTCATAGCGAATACTAGTAGGCGATTTTATTAATGTTATTTAAGTGCAATTGCTTTAGTTACAGTATTTTTCTGATAGGGAGCAATGTTTAACTTGCCTGTATTCCAAGCCCAATCCTACATTCCGCATCAAGTGTGTAAAGATGAGTGACGAATCTTAGCAAGAATAACATTTAAAAGAAACGTAGCGCTTCTTCGTGCAGTGCCAACATTCCGACAATGTTAATATTGATAACCTGACAGATTTATATGCCAATGAAATTACCCTCATTATCTGGCAGTTAAAAACACATAAAACAGTAAAAGTTATTGTAAATCACACTGATTACTTGCCTTGTACTTTATTTTGATTGTCCACATCCATGGTTACTTACTGATCCAGTGTTTGTGGGTAGTTCTAAATATCTCTTGATTTTTTAGACACCTTTTGTTGCTTTGGCACGCCAACCCCCCTGCAGAAAAGCATTAATGCAGTGTTTGCACTGTCTCAAACAGTGTACATAAATACAGGTAGGAAGCAATTTGAGCACCATTTGTAATGCCAGGAGTTTGAAAGAAGAACACCGTAACTGGCCCATATTTTCGTCTACGTGCCTGAGAAATGTTCCAAGCTATCTCTTAGGTTCCAGTTCCCTCTTAACGTTTGCTCCATGTGGCCGCAGATCCCCAGGGGCCACGTGTGGCTGGAAGGGGACAACAAGGGCAACTCCACGGACTCGAGGGTCTATGGCCCGGTGCCTCTGGGGCTCGTCAGGGGCAGGGCGGTGTGCAGGGTGAGCCTTTCACCCTGGGACCTGACCACGCCACACTTTAGGGGAGCCACGCTTCGGTGCTTAGGAAGTGGCGCTTTCTATGCGCAACCGTCGCCAATTGTGCCCACTAGGCAACACGGTGGTGGCGTCTCTGAGAGTTGTCAACAGTGCAAGTCAGGGTTTCTTTTTAATCTCTCGAATGGCAGCTGAGGAAGCCCTCCTAACCGGTGCAGAAGCTTGGACCTTGTAAACAATGGTGCACATACAGTTAGTGTTTAGCTCATAGTTATGTATCATTGGGTGGCTCAGAATAGCTAGAATAGTGGTTAAGCTAGAAAAATGCTTAGCTTGAAGGGACACTGACACCCCCCAAAAATTTCTTTTCATTTTTTGCCAGGGGCTTCATTATGGTGTCGGGGGACTACCCAATTAATATTTTGCAACAGAGTAGCGTATTTTTTTAATAAAGCCGAAAGACGCAACTGCTCGAAACCGAAACCGAAACCCGACGGAGGTCGGAGAAGTGGAGAGAAGAGAGTGAGTGGCGGAAGTCACGTGGCTACACCCGACCGTGTTTTTTTTTTTTTTGTTTTGTTTTTTTTCTTCTCCGTAGCAGACGACACGACATGCGGCGTGCGATGCGGCGTGCGATGCGGCGTGCGGGAACTGCTCGCCGGGCGATTTTTTTGCAGTTATGTTTGTTACGCTCGTTGTTCTGTACTCCAAGATAAGTTGTTTTGTACATTGAGGAGTCGGAGATGAGTAGCGAGTGCCCGTGATGAATTTCCATGATCGGCTCCGAAAAGAATACACCCAAGATGTTGCGTGAAGAGCTGGCTCACATGTCCTGCGTCCGAAAAAAAGTGGCATTGTGCGACAGAGTTTCCGAAAGATAAACGGGATCGGCACCAATGGCTGGCTGCAATTCCTGTAGAACATATACGGGTCACCTCGGAAAGCGGACGCTACCTGATTTATATGCTCCTTGCATTTTGTGGAAAATGATTACATTGAGTTCGCAGGTGTCAAAAAGGAAATCACATACCATTTAATTCAGCGAAGTATCGTCCGCAACATTTGTTTGTTATTTTTTGTTTGTTTCTTCAGTGATGATTGTAAAAAAAGAAAAAAGATACGTAAACATCGGGAAATGTTTGAAAAAAAAAAAAAAAAAAGTTTCACGGGGGATCGAACCCGGTCCTACCGCGTGCGAACTGGACGTCTTTCCCACTGCGCTACTGGGGGATCTCTTTTCTGGTGGATCTCTTTCCTTTGTAATAATTAAGCCGGTAAACTGCAAGTTGGAAAGTTTGCTGTCGATCTTTCTCTAGCAAAAGCACTCCCGAGTCGAAGTCGGGAAGCACCACGCTTTGGGGACATTCGAACCTAGTAAAAAAATCGTACGCGTGCATATTCAACTCGAAGTAGACACGTCGCGCTTGACGTTTGCGCGAACGATGTCTTCAGCCACGAGAAGGGAGCGACGGCTCGGCGACGTCTTCGTGCAAATCGGCTTGGTGGCCGGGCGTGTCGTACGGGATGAATACCAATTCTTTTGATCAGTCCCAAATTTCTCTTTTAAAGGTAGACAGAATTCGCCGGTACCGCGAACGACAGTTCTGAAGTAGAGGCCCCACGCCCGTCGTCCGCTGCCATCGCCGTCCCCGCGAGTCCCACGATACGCGAAACGACGAACGCACAGAATGCTTCCGGTTGTCTGTGGAACTTTTTTTTTTCAATCAACGTATTTGCAGCTTTTTAGAAGCCACAAAAAATGGGTTTCATATTTTTTTCTATTTTTAATATTGAGTGTGTGCCTTCAGTGACCCACGACTTTGATTAAATTTGGTGGTCGCATCGATACCTTAGAAAACGGCCCGTGACCGCGGAAAAGAGAGTGAGCGAGACTCGAACCGGCCAGTTCTTGATCGGCGGTTTTCGGGCGGAAAGAAACCGAATTTCGAGCCGCAAATTCTGTTCTGGGTAGTTGAGCTCTCATATGTCACATACAACTAAAAACCTCGGCGAGCATAAATACCCTGTCAGTGTCCCTTTAAAGACTGACCAACCAGGAAATTTAGCAGCTCGAACAACCCTGTTTGAGGAACCATGCTCTAAAGCGGCTTCTTCTTCATTCTGGGGTTCCCCAAGAATTAGCAGGTGGGCCTCTTCCCTTTCCGTATTAATTCGTTTATTAATTATACCCTCGGGATCCGAAGGCCCTATAGAGGGGGAGAGTATAAAAATGAAAAAATCGGGCGGGTCGGCGGCTGCGAGGCAGAAGTCATTGGTGCGCGCGTCAATGTCATCAGCCCTGTCGCGTGTCTCAACATGCGCTCTTTCTTTTTCTCTCTCCACCATTCTGTGCACGCTTCAAACTTTGAAATTTTTCGCGCTTATTCTAATGATGCTTATGCCAGTCATTATTCTTTCCATTCTCGCGTACCCTCTCGACAGAGCCTCGATCGGTGTTGCTAAATTAATAACATTTTGTTGCCGACGGCAATCAGTCGGGGCTACAATTCTGTCTCTTGCCAATGACCAGGAACGGCAACTTCGTCGATGTTGATTTGAAATGGCCCTGAGCTTTGTGGAATCTCGTTACCAGCTTTGCCCTAGAAAATCACCACTGGCAGCAGCCGATTATTTTGGAGGTACCAGATCACTCGACCCATTTGCGCAGATGGCAAGTAGTATCATAGGTGGGGGTTACTTAACAACGCTGCCACTCTGAGACGTCTATGCATTCGTTGTGTTTTGTTCCCTTTCAGCATGTTCCAGCAGCTCATTTGCACCCTTTACAGTTTGTTTGTGTCGCGAGATATTCACCTATATGGGTCCGCCAAACAATTTACGACTGCAACTTTTGGGTCTAGAAAGAAATCGGAAGATTGGCCACACAATTAAGCCACCCACGATGCAGAAATTGCAAAGTTTTGTGCCTCCAGAAATAGGGTCACCTATGGCAGGGGTGCGCAAGGTGGGGGTCGCGGGTACCTCAGGCCGAGCCACCGGCAGCTTCAATACTGCTCTAAAGGGAAGAGGGGGGCAGGAGGAGGGGAAGGGGGAAGGTGGGTCGCATCGCGTCGCCCGAGCACTTTAGAGGTCGCAGGCCTCAAGTTTTCGCAACTCTCATCTACCGTGCACCAACAAACATTAAAAAAATTGATGGATTCCCAATGCTTACGCAATACGACAGCAAAAATATTAACTCGCTACGATTTAGTTCTGGCGGCAAGTCGGATCAACCTCGGCAAGTTCGTGACCCACCATGCAATGCAACCTTGGAGTGTTCAAGCTGGTTCACACATTTTGAAGCGAATCAAATCGAATATTTTCAAATACAAATATTTCTATTATTTCTAAATTTTTATTATTTTTAAGTTATTTCTAAATATTTCTGAATTGAACGAGGATACTTGATTTAAAACCCAACTAGAATTCTTTTTCAACAAACATAATTATGAAAAGGTTAACTTTATTACTGCAACAAGAACGATGTCACACGTGAGACTGATAAAAAATAGTTAAAATACTAGTAAAGCGCCATTCAAGGAGTAAAATTAGTGTTAGAAATGCATGTTCTGGGAGTAGTGATGCTGGTCCCAATTGCCCCAGACACTGAAAAGAGCTGCTTGCTAGAGAGCCAGTATGGCTGGGTACCTTCTTGCAAGTTGAGCCAATGGGGGTCTTCCCACGCCACCACTTGCAAGGATCGTCTTCCCGGGCCAGGACGTCCCCGTGCAAGTAGCTCGCTACCTCTTCAGCTTGTGCCATTGAATGCTGCTTTTCCTTAATCAGGCTGTCCAAGTTTTGCCATGTTGACCTGGAGGGAACTTCAGGGGCCATTGAAGCCTAGGCTCTGCATTTCTCAGTCTGGGAAATTTGTTGCGCCTCCTCGTCTCCCAGGCTCTTTAGTCAGTTCCTCATTGACCCATCCTCTTTGTAGACCACCGCCTCAAACCTTAGGTCTAGGAGCATTGCCAAGCTTGCTATTCAGTCGGAAAATCTCGTCTTGAGGCACTTGGCTAGGTTAGGTGAGAATGAGCAAGTCACAACCCGCTGGCTGACAGAGTTGTTCAGATGCGGGCAAGCGCAACCAAACAAGTGCACAAGCGGCGGCGGGTCAGCAAGCCACAACACAGAGTTGAAGATCGCGTTCCGCAGCTGCACCAACCTTGTGCAATCTCTCTTTATGCAAATGAAAGTACACAGGCCACAACAGAGTCGGAGTCCTTGCGATCTCTTTTTGTGCGCAATAGTTATGCCGAGAGGAGGTGCCACAAATGGGTAGGAATAAAAAGAATAGTGGAAAACTGATGAATCGGAAAATCGAGCAGAAAATGACTGGAATGGCTAGTGTAGAAAACACGTCAAGCGACTCCGATGTCTCGGATGGAATGTCTTTAATCACGCGCGCTCGCGACCACCTCAGCGCTTGGTGCCGCGAGCTAAAAGAGAAAACAAAAAACAACAAAGTGTCTAGCACGGGGCCCCTACAGGGCTCCCCCCCCTAGCAACATGGAGCAAAGTGTGTCACTCATGGGGCAGAGTCAGATGTTCCATGAGACACGCTTAGTGACGGGTGGCGAACTTGTAGGCGCGTGGGAGTTTTCTTGTTGTATGATCGTAGCCGGAAGTGCAGGATTATCGTCCAGGAAGGCTGGCTTTATGCGGTCCATTGCAACGATCTCTGTGCGGCCGTGCAAATCGAGGGTCATCGTTTTTGCCGTACGGTCAATGACTTTGAATGGCCCGTCGTAAGGCGGTGTCAAACTCCTCTTGAGGCCCTCCTGCCGCAGGAAAACGTGCGTGCATGTTGTTAGATCTTGGCTTACAAAAACTCTGCGGGAGCTTGGCAGGCGAGGCGGTGTTGGTTGTAGCCGTTGGAAGATCTCCCTCAAGTTTTCCAAGTATGTCTGAGATGGGAGTGATGCAAATGTCTTGGGTGCTTCGAAAAATTCTCCGGGTAAACGAAGTGGTGCACCATACACCAACTCTGCGGAGGTGCAGTTCAGGTC